TTGAGGACGAATGGATTTGAACGACATGGTTTAAAGGGTATAACTTATTATCTGAAGTTGTCAGCAGGTGACTGCTTTGTGATCCGTATTCCACCTTCAATGTTAGATTGAGTACAGGCGTTTGGACAGCTTTGAAGGCTGTATAGGAGGTTGGTATGAGTAAATTCAGTTTGTAATCTGCAGATGTTCTCGTTTTATGTGTTCCACAAGCGGCTTATGCTTATTGATCATGTAAATGCCCTTTCTTTGTGCGTACACGTCCGATCTGATAGAGATGACTGATTTGGTGACAAAACTGATCGTCAGCTGTATGTGGCATGCCATCAGTCGAGACAAGATTTAGAGACATTGTTCTGCATGCAAGTTAGCTCCCACTCTATTCAAACGTACAAACTCACTGGTGCATAGATGACTACTGGTGGAGTGCTAGTGAACTAATTTAGCTTCTTCTGTGCCAATCAGTGTGATGGCCTCAGTAAGACTGGCTAGCAATATGAGGTTCGACGATTGATACACGTTTTAAGCTGATAGCTTGGGTAGTTATTCGAAGTACCCAATTGTAATGAAGTATTTGGGTGTTTGTAATGCAGAATACATTTACAAGGCTTACTTATGAGATGCAGATAGATAAGAATTTTAATCGATAATAGGTAGCTGAGTGAACCAAGAATTTAAGACAAATGTGCAAAAGATAACGAAAAAACATATTTCATACCGGAAATCAACAATTTTGAAAAAGCATATAAAATAAAGGACTTTGACTTTTGTGCGTTTTAGGGAAGTCTTTAGTGATGCATAGTAATCTATTTCAGTGTAGTTTCATGTACTACCTAGACTATCTCTGCTTTAGGGTAGAACATGATAGTTCCTCATCGTTGACTCTCCTAGTCTTCAAAAAGGCAAAAGAACTCCTGTGATAATCATATAGAACCAGACGAGTGGTTCAAGGGGATAGATTAGATGATGAAGCTGTGAACCTTTACTTATCAAAGCACGCAGCTAGGACAAGTACGATATCACCAAATGCTTCACTAGCTAAATATGATTAGGTTTAAATAAGGCTAACTATGACCAGGAAAACCGGAGATCTTGTAGTCAGGTTTGCTAGTTGCTGACCTGTGTACTCAGTTTATTTGATGTCTCCAAAGTATCACGAAAAAATGGATTGAGATTGTTGGTGACAGCTAAAAATCTATAATAACCACATAAACGTAGTACCCTTTTAGATTACTGAACATTTTAATCCATCCAAATCAACATAGAACCAGGCATTACTGCGCAACTGTCTGAGTTGCCACACCTCATATCAGTACATAAAGTAAAAAGGTAGTGAAGTGCAAGATGAATATAAGAAAATTCAGTCAAAAGAAATATAAAGTACGAAAAGAGAAGAAGGAAGAATGAGGAAATGGTGAGATTCGGTATGCGTCGTTAAGATGACGATAATGTGTGTATACATCTGCGCCACTGACATCAGTTCTGAGCCATATCACCTAGAGTCTCCAACCACTGGTACTTCTTGTCCCGCCGACTCCAACCACCCAGTCTGCATCGCCTCACATAGCTCAAACCAACAGTCAGAAACTTCATACATTGGTGTCATGTTTTAGTCTGGCCCACTCGGGCCTTTCCCCAGCCTGCACCTACTTCGGCCAACATTGTGTGGCGAGGCAATCGGCAACAAGTCATACGTAACACGTGTCCCAACCATCTCAGTCGATGAAGGTTCACAACCATGTCAACTAACTTACCTCTTCTCCCTAAAACTCTACACCTGACTTCTGCATTACTCACGGAATACGGCCTATACTTCGAAGGCAACGGTGGTCAAACACCTGAAGCTTTCTCATATCTTCCACCCTAAATGGCCATGTTCCACAGCCATACACAGTAGGACAGAGCGGACTGCAGTGCAGTACACGTGACCCTTAGTTGTCAATCGGATATCACGGCGGCGCAAGTTGGCAAAAGTCAGTCGAGCTTTTTGTATTCGAGCAGAGATTTCATCGGCCACTGAGCCAAAAGGACAGGGCTGGTCCTATTTCCCAGGTAGGTAAGTGAAGTGGTCGACACATACTGCCGGGGTGGGGAACCATTGAAGACCAATCCTGAAGCAACAATTTGCATTTCAGTGGTGAGAAATGCATCCCAAACATTCTCAAATTGCGACTCAAAGTGTTCAAAAGACTCTGCATCTTGTCAGTGTTTCCACCTAACACCACTATGTCATATGCGAATCTAGGTCTAACGAAAATTCTCCTGCGATTAGGTCAACCTCAGTGTGGTCAGGTGACGAGAGGGAGGACCTCCGTAAGTACCTCTGTGACAAATTAAAAGGGATGAAGGGAATTGGGCATATTTGACGGATACCACTCAATGTACACAGCCCAACTGACAACTCACCATAGACTGTAACACGCCCACAGGCGTTCGAGTAAAGAGCCTTCAACAATGTAATGCACTTACTCGATACCTCTTTCAGTGAGATGTAGCCATAAGACTTCTCGATTGACGGAGTCGAATGTCGCCTTCAGGTCGAGAATTACAGCTATTGTCGGGCGTCGGTAACCGTGCCTGTGTTCCAGAACTTGACAGTGTGAATATTTGGTCGATACACCCACGGTCCGGTCTCAAGCCTGCTTGGTTTTCTGGGGCTTGCTGTTCCCGAGCTCCACTCAGGCGTTTAATGATTATAGAACCTAGAATCTTAGACACTATATTCATCAGGCTGATTCCTCTGTGATTATAACAAGAGGACTTCTCGCCTTTTGAAGACTGGGATAATCACTGATTGAGATCAGTCAGAGGGGATCATATTCCACTCCAAAACATACTGGTTAACAAACACTTCAGTCAACTTGACTAATAACACTCTACTCACTACTAATGCTCGTGGTCGTTGTGTAAACTTCTTCCAGTCTACTTGTAAGTTGCGCTCGCTCTTCATAGTACTCAGAGCCTGGAGGGATGCGTTCACGTGCATCCATCCATTCGGAAGAAGTGCTGATATCCACTAGCTCTTATTAGCCAATATTCGGAGTCGGCTATGGTCTTCGGCGCTTTTTTTTTTACAGCAGACTGGAGATGACACCAAGCTTCTTCTGGATCAGTGATAGTCTTCTGTTCCAATAACTGTCTAGGCAATTTCCCACTGAACGCGGCTTTGGTGTTTTCGTTGTCCAGCTGCACTCGTAATGGTTTCGTTGCTAAAATTTTCCTACGTTCATTGAGACGCAGGAATATACGCGCTTGTAGCAACGCGTAGTCGCTATCCAAACACGTACTCCAGAAGGAGTAGCAGTCTTCCACCGATCCTCTCCAGTAATGACTGGTAGCAATGTGGTCTGTGTCCATCGCGGAGTTTAGCTCGGTGGATGCCACGTCAGATAGTGTCTCTCTTTATATCTGAAATTTGTGCTAGCTAAGAATAAGCGGTTTTCTGATCACAGTTGTAGTAGGCGATCACTGTTATCTGTTCGTTCAACCGGAATTCTGAAAGTGCCACTTAAGTGCCCCTCCGCCTCACTCAGTCTGCCTACCTAGCTGTGCGTCGAAATCACCTACAACAACCACCAAGTCCGAACGTTTGGTTTTCGAGAGGAGACTAGACAGCTTTTGGTAGAACTAGTCCTTTACTTCTTCCGAACTACAGTCAGTGGTTGTGTAATCACAGACTACAAAGAGACAACGGCAAGTTTCACTATTCTTTTTAGTTCTCACTGAGCGGACAACGCAGAGGCGACTATCAGTTGGGATCCAGTCTAGTAGCGAGCTTTCTGCCCTAGTGCTTAACGCTATGTCTACACCAGCAAAACCGCAAAAGCTAGCCATCAAATCTCCAGAAACTCGAAGGGTGAATTTCGTGGATTCACCAGAATGGTCGGGAGAGAGATTAGGTGAATAACCGCACTTCGGTCCTATATGAGTGTCTCACAAACACAGCACACATCCATACCCCGAGTTGCTAGAGTCTTTGCTAACGAAGCCTGTTGACCAATTTGACGGAGGGTGCGGACATTGAAGGCTCCAATATGTAATTTGGAGCGTGGTTTAAGGAGACCAGTGATGCTGTTCTGTGGACTCAGATCCTTGTCGAAGGCTGCAGAGGTAAAAGAAATTGAAGATGATGCAGCATCATTAATTAAGAGACGTGAAGGAAGATTAGAAGATAATGATGGAGGAGGTGGATAGCAGTCAGAAGAAACTTGAGTGCTGACAGAGTTGTGAGGGCGGTTGACACTTCCCGGCTGCCCACACCGTGGAAGGCTATTTCTTCTTAAGGTACCTGAAGGAGATCTGTATGACCGCAGAGCCCATAGGACATCTGCTTGAGGCCTATCACACGAAGCCTTTTGAGTATGATTATTTTGAACTTTTGTATTTTTGTGGCCGGATGGTCGAAAGGAAATGACAAGTGAACCAACACCGCCGACCCGGCAGACCGTGGGGCATGGTGGAGTGTGTTATTTTTGGGGCCGACCTTTTCTAACCTCCCCACCTTCCACTGACAAGACAGCATGGCACTGCTGGTCATCCAAGGGAAACACCTTACTGTTGTCACACCCCATTCAGCTAGCAGCAGTACGGCTTTGCCCTCAGACCCCCCATCATAGTGTAGCAATTTACACCACAACGGTAACTGCTTTTCGTCTAACCACTGTCCAACATACCTTTCTAGTATGGTAGGACCTCGAGAGAACAAGTGTTCCGCCAGCATAGCTCGTTGGGTCATTGTGAAATGCATCATTATTTATTTTATAGTTTACCATTTCACTTTGTGTAATTGAGAGGTGCAGCAACTTGCGAAGTTATAAATTCTGCCATATTTCGTTTAGTCCTCTATTCCACCTATATAATATGTGAGGATTGACAATATTACCAACTGACTTTCCTCCTTCACGTAAGTCAACAACCCCAATTCTTGATACCACATCTGAGTTATGCAATAAAAACATCATTCAGTTTTAATGAAACAATTTTTAAAAGCTTAAGTGCGGTGTAATAAATACAGGTTGATAAATTTCAAGCAAAAAAACAATTCATTTTGAAAAATATATATATATATATATATATATATATATATATATATATATGACATGAAGAGTAACTTATTTACATCCATACATCATCAAAGAGCGGTCCTCATACAATAAGTCAGATAGAACATGTGAATTACTTCCATGTGTGAATGTATCAGCAACAGATGCTCAAAATATGCGTAGTTTCTTCTCCTTCATCTGTTTATTCTGCATATTTACAATAGTTCGTTCACTTTCCTTTAACTGGGTTAACTTTAACTGCAAATCATCCACTCTTTGTTGTGCCTGTTTAGCAGCTAGACGATCCCGACCTTCATTTCGTTTTACAGCCTCTTGCGCTTTGAAAATTTGATTGTGGATTTTATTTATTTGCTCATGTGTATGAAACAGTCTGCGTTTCAACACATTTTCATTACAATTTGTAAAAGATGTCTGTGCAGTCAAAGTATTCTTTGAGCTACTAACGTTGATAGACATGTGATCATTATTACCACTGTTGGACAGCAATGCCATGTTAATCAAATTAAAAACACTTCCACTATGCGAATCAGCTTTGTTATTAGAAGTATTAGAAGACTTCTCTTTGGCTTTTCGATCGGAAGATACAACACCTCTGATACATTTTTGAGGTAATATAACGCTGTCTAAAGAAGGTCGATGATTCCATTTGGCATTGTGAACTTGATACTTTTCAAGATTAGTACAAACAGGAAACTGGCGACCTTGATTACAGCGACCAAGTCCACCATAACCTGGATAGCCCATGCTGGCTAATAATCGGGAACCAATCCCTCGAGTATGTGCTTCCCACTCACCAAGTGAATTATTCTTGTCCTCTTTTGTTTTGGAATCTTCACTCATACTGGTTGAATTTGATGTATCACTAGGTTGGTCTGGTGTCAGCGTAGTCCCGAAAACAAAATGAATATTTGAACGGCGTCTAGTACCCTACACACACAAAATATTGAACAGAAATCCACTATTATAATATTTCAAATTTGAGATCACTTAGTACGCTCAATACAAACGAAATAGCCCTAAACAAAGAAATGAATTACCAATCCATTGTTTCATTAAAATGACAGACACAAAAACTACGTGGAACCTCATACAGTAGTCAATCAATCACGTCAAGTTGCCACACTTCCCAGTTCCATGCAAAGTAAAAATGGATAGACAAAAACTTATATCAAAGTAGACAAAGGTGTATGAACGGAATTTAAAAATAATAGTAAAAAAATTCAAACATGATATCCAAGTGAATGTTCACCGATTTTCAGTCATTTCGCCAAGAGCCACAAGGGACTGATTAGAATTACCCTGTGGACGCCAGCCATATAGTCTACACCTCATGAAGTCACTGCTCAGATCAATAGCCGAATTTCACAAATCGGTGTCACGCTTTAGTCTGATCACCCTTAACATTTCAAACGAATCCAACTTCGACTAGAACATCCCACACCAAGGTACACAGTGGCTTGGCTTGTGCAACGCATGTTCAAGCCGTCCCAGTTACTGGAGGTTCTCCTAACTTTATCGACTGATTTGCCTTCCTTGTATAGTACTCTCCACCTAAACTCTACATTGTTCACACGTTGATTCAACCCTACACGAGCAATGCTATGAAGACACCTATGTTCGAAGAGCTCTAATCTCTTCATATCTCCTACTCTCATCAGCCATGTCTTACAGCCATATAACAGGACAGAACGGACTCTTTAATAAGTCTAAATGGATGCCAGGTATTACCTAAGGCCAATGTCTTCTACATCTTTCTGGCTTTTTTCACCCACCACTGCTCGAGATAATTGCGAGTATCTCCATCGTGGTCAGAGCCAGTCGGAATCAGTCTTCCTACATTAATCAGTTCGGATGACGTCGCGGAAATTCAATGACATTTACTAACCTTTGGACGAAGGTTACCAAGTATCCTTGCCACTGTTTCTAAAGCAGACTTAATATTGAGCCAGGTTTTCTAAGTATCAAGATTGCAGTCACGTTCAGAGGAATGCTTAGCGAACCCCTCCCTAAATACATACTTCATGCTGTCACCTTCACATCGAGTACGCACAGGCTTAACTTCTGTCAGCTTTCTGCAAACAGTAAGGTGTAGACATCATACACGACCCAGTGATTGGAGTCCAGAAAGAACGGAAATCCTCCACTGTGGCCCTCGTTGGTGGACGCCATGTGAGACAATGCCTCTTCTTATGCTTGATGAAGTTAGCGCTAACCAGAAACAAGTGATTATCATAACAAAAATGCAAGAGATAACTTTAGGTTGCATGTCATACCAGA